CTCAAGACGGGCTCGGATGCCGCGGCCATGCAGTTGCACAGCGACTGGGCCGCCCGCCGCCCGCGTGGCGCGGGCCTGGTGCTGCAGTACGTGAAGAGCGCGCTGCGCCCGACGGTGGCGCTGCCGTATCCGCTGCTGATGGCCGTCTGCTGGTTCAGCTGAGGGGCTGCAGCTCGTGCAGCGGGATCAGCGCTGCCATGCCCTTGAGCTGCACCACTGTTTCACCCGTGCGGTGCACGACGTACTGCGCCACATGGCGCTCGCCCTTGTAGCGCACGGTGTCGCCGGGCTTGATGACCGGCAGCGGCACGATCGGCACCGCCACGCGCAGCGACGGGCGGGCCTGGCGCATCACGTCGCGCACGGCGCTGTGCAGGCCCGGTGACTCCTTGGCCAGCGCGTCGAGCGAGCGCGTCATCTGCGCCTTCAGCTGCTCGGCGGTGAAGGGCTTCTTCAGCAGGAAGTGGGCGCCGTGCGCCTCGGCCTCCAGCTCGTGCTCGGGCGTGACGTCGAAGCTCAGCAGCGACAGGTGCAGGCGCGGCTGCGTCTCCTTCAGGCGCTGGAACAGCTGGATGCCGGTCAGCGTGGCCTTGGGGAACCAGTCGGTGATGAGGAAATCGGGCTTGAACAGCAGGCCCTGAGCGAGGCCGCTGTCGGTGTCGGCGCAGCACAGGATGCTGTCGGCGGAGAAGCCCTGGCCTTGCAGCAGCTGGCGGGCGAAGGACTGGACGCCGGCAAGCGGGTCGACAACGAGAAATTTCAAGGGAGCAGTCATGGGTACAGCGAATCGCCAGCTGTGCGCGATCCAGCGCCGCATTCTGCGGGCTGCCCTGCAACGGCCCGGTTATCAAAAGCGGGCGGACGTGACCTTTTCGGCGGCTTGCAAAATGGCTTGTAACAGCGCTGCCTAGGGCGTTGCCGTGCGGCTGCGCAGTTCGTCCGCGCTGGTGCGCAGCTGGCGCCAGAAGGCCGGGTCCAGCGACGTGGCCATGTTGATGCGCATCAGCGAGCCGGGGCAGCGCGTGGCGCTGAACAGCGTGCCGGGCGCCGTCAGCCAGCCGGCATCCAGCAGCGGCTGGGCCAGCCGCTCGGTGTC